TTCTCCCTGCACAGGTCGTCGTACAGGGCGACCAAGGCAGATTCAGTGCTGTACCCGGGTCTGAAGCCGGACTGAAAAGGATCCAGATAATCAGTTTCCTCCAAGAGTGCTTGGAGTTGTCCCGCCACCACTCGCTCCAGCACCTTGCCCAGAAACGGGATGTTTGCCACAGGTCTATAGTTAGTGGCCATCTCTGGATCCAGTGACGCTTTCTTCAGGACCGGTCGTCTTACCGCCTCCTTTAAAGGGGCAGGCACTCGACCCTCCCTCAGAGAAGCGTTAACCACTTCCAAAATCCAGGTCCCAATCCCGTGCTTGGAGTTATTTATTAACCAAGACGGGCAAGGATCCAATAGGCAAGTGGTGGGACGTACTCTTCCAAGCACCTTGTCCACATCATTCTGTATCTGGCCTTCTAAACAGTATCTGGCCTTCTAAACAGCAGTCAGGGTTGATCTCCTCTAGGACTGACCGGTTTAATTGCCTTACAGTCCAAGGGACTTGTTGGAGTCTCCTCCAGCACCACAATTCAAAGACCTCAATTCTTCAGCACTCAGCCTTCCCTTTGGTCCAGCGCTCACAGCCATACATTGCAACTGGGAAAACCATAGCCTTGACTATATGCACTTTTGTTGGCAGGGTGATGTCTCTGCTTTTTAGTATGCTGTCTAGATTTGCCATAGCTTTCCTCCCCAGGAGCAAGCGTCTTTTAATTTCTTGGCTGCAGTCCCCGTCTGTGGTGATCTTGGAGCCCAGGAAAATAAAATCTGTCACTACCTCCATTTCTTCCTCTTCTATTTGCCAGAAAGTGAGAGGACTGGATGCCATGATCTTCGTTTTCTTAATGCTGAGTTTCAAGCCAACTTTTGTGCTCTCCTCCTTCACCTGCATCAAGAGGCTCTTTAGTTCCTCTTCACTTTCTGCCATTAGAGTGGTATCATCTGCATATCTGAGGTTGTTGATATTTCTTCCAGCAATCTTAATTCCAACTGGTGATTCATCTAGGCCCGCCTTTCTCATGATGTGCTCTGCATATTAGTTAAATAGGCAGGGTGATAGTATACAGCCTTGCCAAACTCCTTTCTCAATTTTGAACCAATCATTGATTCTGTGTCCAGTTCTCACTGTTGCTTCTTGACCCGCATATAGGTTTCTCAAGACACAAATAAGATGGTCAGGTACTCCCATCTCTTTAAGAACTTTCCACAATTTGTTGTGATCCACACAGTCAAAGGCTTTAGCATAGTCCGTGAAGCAGAAGTTCTCAGTCCACATACTGCTGGAGCCTAGCTTGTAGGGTCTCGAGCATAACTTTGCTAGCATGTGAAATGAGTGCAATGGTGCGGTAGTTTGAACATTCTTTGGCATTGCCCTTCTTTGGGATCGGAATGTAAACTGACCTTTTCCAATCCTGTGGCCACTGTTGAGTTTTCCAAGTTTGCTGGCATATTGGGTGTAGCACTTTTACTGCATCATCTTTTAAGATTTTGAATAGCTCAGCTGGAATACTGTCACCTCCACTAGCTTTGTTGTTGCTCAGACTTCCTAAGGCCCATTTGACTTCACATTCCAGGATGTCTGGCTTGAGGTCAGTGACCACCCCATCATGGTTATTAGGGATGTTAAGCTCTTTCTTGTATAGTTCCTCTGTGTAATCTTGCCGCCTCTTCTTAATCTCTTTTGCCTCTATTAGGTCCCTGCCATTTTGGTCCTTTATCATGCCCATCTTTGCATGAAATGTTCCCTTCATATCTTCAATTTTCTTGAAGAGATCTCTGGTCCTCCCTATTCTATTGTTTTCTTCTATTTCTTTGCACTGTTCATTCAAGAAGGCATTCTTATCTCTTCTAGCTATTCTCCAGAATTCTGCATTCAATTTGGTGTATCTTTCTCTTTCTCCCTTGCCTTTCGCTTCCCTTCTTAAGGAATTAGTTAGAATAGGGCAATGTCATCTGCAGATATGTTGAGAAAATGCTGAGCAGATTACCTCCATGGTCTTTCTAGAGGGATTGGTCCTCAGAGGCTTTGTCAGGGCCTCTATGGTTAAGGCAATAAATATTGGCAAGGGGGTAGCCCTGCTTAGTCCCTCAGTGAAGTAGCAGGGAAGTATATCTACTGCACCTACTTTGATAGTCCACCACATGACTGATATAATGCCCAATAACATTCATAAGCCCATCCCCCAGTTATATTTGCTGAGCACCATTTATTGAGGAAGGCCATTCTATGTCACTAAAAGTTTTGCAGTCCAAGCTGCCTCTTAGTAGTGATTCTAGTTCCCATCATGATACAAAAAGCTTCATGTCCTGTGTTAGAAGCCCTGAATGACTGGTCCAGCTTAGAGTACTTCCCAGGTTTCAAAGTCCCAATAATACAGGAATCTCTGTGTTTCATGACTACCTCAGCTTCCTCTTGCATGTACTGCTTCATTAGTTCTCTTAAAAGCCTTCACACCTTAGCTGTGAGGTAAGCCTTTATTTCACAGCCCCTGGTGGTTACAAAATCTGATGTGTTACCAAACTCCTGTTTCTTAAGAATATTACAAATTTGCCATTGCTGCTGTCTTGTTTTCTTCCAGTAACAATTACTTGTTATTGTATTTCAATATTTGTATTTTTCCTTGGGGGCAGTAGAATCTCAGCATCTGATTATCCTGTCTTCTATCTAGAACGGTGCAGTCCTAATACTGGCAAAAATATTAGGATTAATAAATCAAATACCGATATTGCAGAACCCTCTCATATCAAGATCAATAAGAATTTACCCTTGAAAATTCATCCCATACATCCTTATTTCAGGAAGGTTTCTTTGGCTGACCAGCTGTTTTATTGATACTCTGTTTTTAACATTGTATATTATCTTCTTAATATTTTTTGTCTTTTTAGTATGCACAAGTCCAGATTCTGTGTAATTCTTGTTGCAAATTTGTAAGTTTGTCTAACAGAGTGTAGCTCCCCCATTTCAGATCTGTATGGGGTTTAGTAATTCCATGGACATGTCCCTATACTGATAGAAATTTTGTGATATTGTAGATTTTATATATATATATATATATATATATATATATATATATATATATATATATATATCTGTCTGTCACTTATCACAAATGGATACATTATTGCCTGCATTATTTATTGAGCTTAATATTCCAGATATTAATAAGATTCCCAAGAAAATTACCCACAAATAGTAACAGTTTAGTCAAGGTCTGGACATATTTTATTTATTTATTAAAACATTTTTATGCCGCCCCATTCGCCGAAGCCCCGGGGCGGCTTACAACAATAAATTAATATAAACATTAAAAATCCAAAAAATACAATATAAAATGAGCCACCCTGGCCAGATAAAATCAGTTAATACTAACAGTTAAAATACCGCTTAAATAAAAAGGTTTTCGCCTGGCGCCGAAAAGCAAATAATGACGGCGCCAGGCAGACCTCTCTGGGGAGCGTGTTCCATAAGTTGGGCGCCACCGCAGAGAAAGCCCTCCTCCGAGTAGCCACCCTCCTAATTTCCTTCCCGGAGGGTTCCCGGAGAAGGGCCTCTCCC